GGGAGTGGGGGAGGGAGTGGGGGAGGGAGTGGGGGGAGGGAGTGGTCTCGCTCCCTCTGAAGGCTACCATCGTCAGCCTAGAAACACCCTCTCTGGGTCCCAACCCTCAGACCCCACACCAAAGGGCAGGGTTGTTGGCAAAACAGAAAGTTGGAAATTCCTAAATTCAAAGGTGAATACCCGCAAGGAGTCAGAGGTGGGGAGGTGGCTCCACTGAACTAGGGACCCATTTGAATCAGAGACCCTTGTCCACTTAGAGCTGTTTTGTTCCTTTCCAGCCCTAGCAACAGGTGGCCGAGCCTTAGGGGACCGGCCACACACCACTCAGCTGGAATGGGTCGGTCACAGGCACGTACCTAGCTGCTGGGCTCCACGGTTCTGATGGGCAGAGGCTTCAAGGTACAAAGAGGTGATTAAAAACCCCGTGCGCTGCCGCTGTCCACCTCCATGTCAGCTGACCCAGAGCCGCAGCGCTGACTCCACTACCCCATGGATTCTCTCCATGCCATCCACTTTCCACGTCACACCCCCTGCAGACCCTCATCACCCCCTTTCTGCACCTCTCCATCTGCCCCATGCTGTCTGTTTAAAACCCCAAACCACAGCTCTCCGTTCATCCCTCCTCTGCTCTAATACCCCACCCCGCTGTCTCCAGCTGGATCAAGTCTGAGCTCCTTGTCCTGGCATTTGAGGCCTCCCCAGCCTGGCCCCAGCTCACTCATCCTCCCTTTCCCAGCCTTTCCAGCCTGGTCTCTCCTGCGGCATGTGCCACAAACCACAGCCACATTGGCTTCCTTGGATCTGGGTCCCTGGAGGATCTTCCTGGGGTAGCATTCTAGTGACCTCCCAAGACCGTAGACACCCACCCTGCCAAATACCCAGGGGTTATGAGTGGGTCGTAACAACAAATAGCACCTTTCCCGGAGCATGATTTGTCGTTTCTGTTTTTTTTGTTTTGTTTTGTTTTGTTTTGTTTTTTTGAGACAGAGTTTCACTCATGTTACCCAGGCTGGAGTGCAATGGCGCGATCTCGGCTCACCGCAACCTCCGCCTCCTGGGTTCAGGCAATTCTCCTGCCTCAGCCTCCTGAGTAGCTGAGATTACAGGCACGCACCACCATGCCCAGCTAATTTTTTGTATTTTTAGTAGAGACGGGGTTTCACCATGTTGACCGGGATGGTGTCGATCTCTTGACCTCGTGATCCACCCGCCTCGGCCTCCCAAAGTGCTGGGATTACAGGCTTGAGCCACTGCGCCTGGCCTTGTTGTTTCTGTTTTTTAGAGACAGGGTCTCACTCTGTCACCCAGGCTGGAGAGCAGTGGCATAATCAAAACTCACTGCAGCCTCGACCCTCTGGGCTCAAGCGATCCTCCCGCCTCAGCCTCCTGAGTAGCTAGGACTACAGGCACGTGCTGCCACACCCAGCTGAGTTTTTAAATTTTTTGTAGAGACGGGGTCTCTTTATGTTGCCCAGGATGGTCGTGAACTCCGGGCCTCAAGCGGTCCTCCCTCCTCTGTCTGCTAAAGTGCTGGGATGACAGGTCTGAGTCACCGCACCTGGTATGTATTAAACACACCCAGAGTCTACTAAATTCCAGGCATTGTGCCAAGTGTTTTAATGCATTTTCATTTAATTGATTTGCATTAGCATTTAATTCTTACAACTCCCCTTCAAAGTAACCATTTTTATTCCCATTTTTAAGATTAGGAAACTGAGGCTCAGAGAAACTAAGCAACTTTCCAAAAGTCACAAAGCTACTAGGTGGTGAAGCCAGAATGTAAATCCAGGCTGCCCAAGCTCCTAGCCCCCATGCTGAGTGTGTTCTGCCCACAGAGGCTGTCGCTGCGCCTCCCGTCATGGGGGTTCAGGGATGGCGCTGCCCTCCCTCAACACAGGTCCCGCCCCCGGGGAAGGATTCATTCCCAGTATGGCCACAAGAAGCCACATATGACTGCACATGTCTGTTCTGAATCAGGGAATAAAGATGCTGGGAGCTGGGAGGCCTTGGGATGTTCCGGAGACTTCCAGAAAAGCCACATTATTTGGCAAAGCTTAGGGGTAAGGGGATGGCAGAGAGATAGAGCATCTAAGTTAACTGGGAACCCCAGGATGTAGCGCTGATCTCAGGGCACCCCTTTTCCTGCCCCGACCACTCCTGGGGCGGAGTCGTCCAGTGGGCCTATAAGACAACAGCGGGAGGCCTCCTTGTGCTGCAGGAAGAGGCAGAATTGGCTGTGTGATCTGGGCCTGTCCCTGCCCCTCTCTGGGCCTGGGTAAACCAGTGGATGTGAGCTGGGGACGCATAAAACAAAAGGAAACGCCCTGCATGGAGTGTTTGGACATGTGGGCTCTGGGCCTGACTCTCCCTTCTTTGGGTCTGTTTCCTCCTCTATAGAGTGGGGAGGCCCGCTTTGCACTGCCTTTATCTGCCTCTGTGTCAGTCGGCCCAGAGCCCCAATCTCAGGTTTTGGGACAGGGAGGGTGGTATAGGACAAGAATGTCTGGGCAAGCCATCCATCCAGTGGGCACTGGCTGAGCCCACTGTGTGCAGGTTTACTATCCAGAGACAGAAACCAGGGCCCTGGTGAGGGCAGTGCACGCTGGAAGACAGCGGGGAAGCAGGCCACATGTGATGTATAGTGTCAGAGCCAAGGGAGCCTACAGAGACCCACAAGCCTACCCATTGTACAGATAGGGAAACTGAGGCCTGGAGAGGGGCAGTCACCCAAGTCTGGAAAGGCAGGTTGACTTTCAGGGCCAAGTTCTTTCTGGGCCAAGTCCAGAAAGGCAGATTTCTTTCTGGAACAAGGGGCTAAGGCTGGGATTTAAGTCCTCTGCTCTAATGAGGTCAATCCAAAGTACATCAGGACAGCGGGTGATGCCACCGGGATGGGGTAAAGAGGAAGGAAGCACCAACCAGCCAAGAGCTCCTTAGGGGAGGCAGGGTCTGTGCCGTGTAACATGGGACAATGAGGGTGACAGTGAGCACGGCGATTTCTGTTGTTAACATGATTCAAGGACTCACTATCTGCCGGGCGCTGCGCTGAGCCCCTTGCCATGCTCTGCCACCCTGTTTTATTCTACCATTTTTTGTTTTGTTTTGTTTTGATTTTTTTTGAGATGGAGTCTTGCTCTGTCACCCAGGCAGGAGTGCAGTGGCACGATCTCAGCTCACTGCAACCTCCGCCTCCTGGGTTCAAGCGATTCTCCTGCCTCAGCCCCCTAAGTAGCTGGGATTACAGGTGTGTGCCACCACACCCAGCTGATTTTTGTATTTTTAGTAGAGATGGGGTTTCTCCATGTTAGCCAGGCTGGTCTTGAACTCCTGACCTCAAGCGATCCACCTGCCTTGGCCTCCCAAATTGTTGGGATTATAGGCATGAGCCATTGCACCTGGCCTATTCTACCTTTTAAGGTGTTACTAGCTCCCCATTTTGCAGAAGAGAGGAGATAGAGGTTCAGAGAGGATCAGTAACTTACTCAAAAGCACACAGCAAGTATGCAGATTGGAACAACCCAAGACCCTAATGGGGGCTAATGGGAGTGGTGGAGACTCAGGGACTCCAACAAGGAAGAAATAATGGGGGTCCCACTGACAGGGAGAGCTTTTTAGCGTGGGCTGTTACTATGGATAGATGGTGTCTCTGAAAACTGAAATCTGAAGTCGCACTGGACAGAGAGTCAAAGTCCTGGTCCAGCTCCACCCCAACCTATGACGCTGCTCTTGAGCAAGTCACTTGCATTCTCTGGGCCTCACCCTCCCCATCTGTAAAATGGACTAAGTGCTTCTTAATGGATTGGGGATAAGCGTCCTTTTGAGCTTCTGATAAAAGCCCTGTACACCAACACACCCCCAACAAACGCAGCCATGCACCCACATCCAGATAAGCCCTGGAGGCTTATCTGAGAACTCTGGGCTGAGATGATCTCCAAGGTCCCCTCAGGCCCTGATATTACCTAGGAGGGGCAAGCGGACGCTGTCCAGAGCACCGGCTTCCCTGAGGACAGATGTCTGGGAATGCCATGGGAAGGCCTGGGAATATCACTGGAATTCTCCTTCAGTGTCGCACACATAGCACGTGCCCCAGTGTGGGTGGACACAGCGCAGGCCAGCCCCAGCCATCACCCTCACCGCCTGGTCCAGGGCCTGCGGTCCCCGTGTTCATACCTGTGTGGCTGCCAAGGTGATGAACAGCCATGATACACTTATGCAAAGTACACGGGGCAAGGAGAGAGGGGAGAGCTATGGAAACAGCCAGACAGGAGCTGCCCATTTGCCTTGGCATCTGCTTACCCTAGGGCTCACAGAAAGGAAATGAGCATGTCAGCTGAAAGGGGCTGCTTTGAACGTCCTTCCTCCTCCTGCCTTATGGTTAGATGGGGGCTGGGGCACAGGGGAAGCCCCAAGAGGGGCCTGACCCTAGGGACTGGGGGATGCAGCTTCTGACTCTCTCATCTGTCTCTGCCTCTCTACTTGCAAGTCTCTCTATTCGCTCCCGTCTCCTCCTTCCCCACCCACCATTCCCTCTCTCTCTTTCTCGCCAGCACTCCATACTCCAGGAAAAAACTG